AATCAATTGTACCGTCTCTATCTCTGCCTGTCTGCAATTCTATCCCTGATTCATTGTCTGGCACACTTATATACAAGAATAGAGGGCGCCTAGCAAATACTGGATTATTTGTGATGTTCCCCAATCTTTCTAGAACTCATTACGTGTTACCAGCGTCACGTGACTTTCTTTGTCATAACAATATAGCAAAAAAAACACACTGAGTCAAACATGTACGCAGCAGTTAGTTTATTTAATATTTACAAAATTCAGAATATCCTCAGCAGCTGAATATAAATACACTGAATTTGGAAGCTAACCTGGACTCTTTCATTCATAGTTTGTTAACTGAGCCATCAGGAAACTAAGTCCCATGAAGATAACTCATCCTGACCATTACAACAACAAAAAAGTGCTGATGCCAATTATTTACATCACAAAATCAGGTTTTCCTCAATTTCTAGATCAAGTAACAATTCTCTTACACTGTTATGAAAATTTAATGTAACTATACAAAAGTACATGTAGTTTTTCAAAAACTAAACCTGCAACATTCAATGCTGGCACGGCCTTTTGCCCATTACTGGACTCTTCAGGCATATTTGCTGCAATTGAAAGAAATTGCTTAAATAATTTAATGACACAAAAGTAGGATTTCTAATTTGACTATAAAATAACAAATTCTTTTAAAAATATAAATATTAAACATCAGAATGAAATTCATAAACATTTAGTACATCAGAATAATTTAGCCTTAATACTGTTACTTACGTTTTGATACAAACAACAACAATAATTATAACCAGAACTAAGACAGCACCAATGCCAACAGCCACAGCAATCCCTGTAGACAACAACAAAAAAAAGGGTTTATGATACTTAAACTAACTTTGTAGGGTGTATATATATATACTATGAACAATTTAGTATATTTGTATTCCTACGATAATTATTTGTAAAAGTTTTAAGTAATTGACACTAAAGAGCTTCAGATACTTTATTTTTTAATTAAGGCTACAGCATACACCTTTAATCGGATGAGCATACTCATCCTCAAATACTAAAGTTAAGGTGCTACAAGTTGTGAATGGACACCTAAATGTGATTACAAAATCTATGTCTACAAGACACTTTTAACCAAAAGTACGAGACACATTGCTCTTTTAATAAAGAAATACTGATACTTAATTTTTTATCTATTTTAATTTTTTTGAGTTCTCAAGTGATATACAAAACTTAAAATGTTCATTTTTAATTCTTTAATTTCTGCTTTGGCTTTTTTTTTTTTTTTAAGGTAAACTTGTTAGCCAGAGACCAAATCCAGGAGATAATGGCTCTGGTAAAACTTAAAATGTTCATTTTTAATTCTTTAATTTATGCTTTTCATTTTCAGATTTAAAATACTTTTATGCATGTGACAATTTTCAAATTGTCACATGTGAAATCTTTATAACATCCAGATAGTTATCAAACATTTCTTAAGAAAAATCTTTATATTTTATCTGTTATTTTCAATAACAAATCTCTGTATGGGTTCTGTCTATTTGACTGATCTTGTAACCACCAAAACAAATTAGGAAATAAATATAAATTACATGTTTTTCATTCTAGAATGAACACAAACTATAACATGAAAACACAACTGCTTAGACTAAGTAGCTTAAATCTCATAACATTATACATTTATATATATTATTTTTATTATATTCACCTTTCAGCCATGCCTGGCTAACAATACAGAAGTTACAATGATGTGGCTCACATGCACTCATGTTACCGTATCCAATAATATAAAACTGACCTTTACTCTTTACAAAGTGACTTGTCTTGCCTTTGTTTTAGTGGACTAGTATTTTGTAAAATACAGTCACATTTCAATTATTATACATAATATATGTATATAGATTATTAATATTTGGAAATAAGTTCTTAAACATATTTTCTTAAAACATAGAACAGTAAATAAAGAAGTAAAGTATACAATTATCTTGTTAGTTACGACCTTTGTACTCATTTGCTGCTTGTCGTAGGATGCTAAGCCTATTAAAATTTTCCACATGGAGAATATGAAATGAAATAGTTGTTTTTAGGTTTTATATATACAATTGAACAACCAAAAAATCATAAATTACTACATTGATACCACAGAATTCCACTATAATTTATCAAGCTTAGTAATTAAGCTGTATCTGGGTCTAAAAAATATGAAATTTCAAACAGACTAAAGTCTCACCTTACCAGCTTGAAGATTTGTATAAAAAAAAATGAGATGTCGTAATACTTGAAAATGGCTGAGAAAGCCACTAGGGGGACATTCTGAGCTTTCGATTTGTTATTCACATTCCATAGACAGAAGTAAGAGTATATAAGGGAGTGTTTCCAAAAATGGAAAGAGGTGAGAGGAGCCACTGTTTCTGATTCAGAAAATGAGTGATATCTCAGCAAATAGAAATGACAGGAGGTTCTTATTTTATATTATAGCTTGTTAATATCAATAATTTGAGTTCCTAAATCACAAACATCTAATTTGAACCAGTGCTGCATTCAACATACCACGTGACAAACAAAAATTGATGTTCTTTTTTAATATTTACTTTTAAATCAAGATATTAAATAATGTATACTATTAAAATTGAATTATAATCTACAGTTTGATACCAAAGTTATTGACAAATTAATAAAATAGTAGTTAAATAAAATTCTGAATGGGAGTCAAGAAACGCAATGACATGGCTTTTGACCCATATGGAAAGGGTTATATAACTTCTTTAATGAATTGTTTAAAAAAACGAATTTAGTGACAGATATGACACAGATTCATTCTTCTTTCCCTAAGCTTCTCCATTGCCTTCTTTGAAGGTCAGTTTTGTGGGTAGGAATAATTACTTAAGAGTAGATGTGACTAATGGTCAGGGGATGGAGCCAAATGGTGTATTTGTACTTATCACTGCAGTGATTAGTTTTTGATTAATTACATGGAGAACTTGGCTCAAGATGTTGAAACCACAAAAAACGCAATATATCATTCAATATATCATAAAAGGCAGTTATTTTCATTGAACACTTTGACATTACTTGCTAGGCTTTTGACTTGATAGTATACCAAAAAATTATTTGTCGCTTTCTTTTAAGCAATCTTAAGTCTCTCAATGCATATCAAATGGCTTCTAAAAAGAAAAACTGAATCTTGAATTGATCCAGGACACGAGTTACGGTAAAAGCAAGGCTCCATCTGTACAATATCCCTTGTTGTCAACAGAAAGTTGACCATATTCAGCACAATGTAAATGGGAAATAATAGACTTATTTATCAGGACTTGAGATCCTTATCAATGGTCAGTATTCATTCCTTCTGAAAGTTTTTGAACTTCATGGAACCAAAATATCATGTTCCAAGCAATGCAACAATTCACGAAAATGTTGTTCGTTTGTACGACACTAAGTGTAATGAAATAAGGGATGAGCTATGCAGCCTTCTGGTACTTTCCTTTACAACTGATCACTGGAAATTAGCAAGAAACGTTGCATAACTTGCAGTCTCAGTGCATGGTATGACTACAGAGTGGGAAACAAATGTGACAACCAAATGCCCCACTGCAGAAAATATTTCCAGAGACTTACAAGCTGTGGCAGATGACTGGGGCATTCAAGACATATTCACAGATGTACATGATAATGCTGCCAATGTAACATTAGCAATTTTTAGAATGGATTCTTACAGTGTACCATGTTTTGCACATACAATTCAACTAGTAAATAAAGCAGGACTACAAACTAGAACAGTGTCTAACATGCTATCTAATTCACATTCCTTGGTTGGCTTTTTTTCACAAATACAACCCTGCATGGGTTGTGCTTTAGGAAAAGCAAAAAGAGAAGAACCCATGCACTTCACCATTCCAGCCAATACAGGACATGATAACATGACGGAACTCAGTGTATCTAATGCTGAAGAGGCTTATTCAGTTGAAAGGTACCATTGTCCAGGTAATCAAGGACCCAGGTTTAATAGGTGATCAAACACACTACCAGGCCAAAAATCTTTGTGATGATGAACGCTATTTCCAACACTTATCCCATTCTCAACGGATTGATGGAAAAGCTAAGTCCATCTGAGGATGATTTACCTTCCCTTAACCATTTTAACCATATTAAATTCTAGTGGTGGGCCAGTGACATTGATTAGCAAGTCATTGATCATTAAGTTTAACAGTGTACAAAAATCCTCGAGTATCTTATAAATCAAGTTATTCAACCATTCATTGTACCCTCAAAACTTGCTTATACCATACTAACTTTTACCTCTTCCATTAACAAAAGCAAATATAGGAGACAAAGAATCAATTAAGTAAACATCAAATTTTGAATTGTCCATTTTAAATTTTTCTTTGTTAAATGATTATCGGCTGATTCACTACATACAGCCAGTTTGTGGTTACTGCCATGTTGTAGTATGGCATGAATGACATTCTAGGACAAAAATGAGGCTTATCACTCACAGGAAACTTTCAAACCTGATGACTATGTGATTTGTAACAGTAAATACTGTAAATTATTGTATCCATATAAATATGAACTTCCAAAAGTTTCTACATTTTTGTATAACTGGTTTAACTTGTTTCAACTGTAGCTAGCTGCTGCTGATCATAATTTGAGGTATTAGGATGCGGCGATCATTGTCGTAGAGTCGTTTCATTTCACTGCAACTTAAGGGAGAAAAAACTTGCATTCAAATCTTAATGGGAAATTATCAAAGTCTTGTTATTGAAATATTTGAGGTAAGCTCCACCCATTGATTGTGATAACCTTTCGTATAGTGCAGGTGCACTCAGCAGTCTTATAATCTCTCAATGTGTATTATAATGACAGGTGGCTGTAGATGCCGTAACATCCATACATAAATGTATATAAATACAACATAATTGTCATTGTCATGCACAAATATTGCCTGTGCAGTGTGGGTATTGTGTCATGAGAGTCAGCCAGGGTTAACTGTAAAAGATTTCTTTGTTTCATTACCAGTTACCAATATCAATAAGTTAATAATAGCCAATCGAAGAAACAGTTGGAAGCTTTATATTATGATATTAATTTCATGACCACTAAATTGGTGCTCGTTACTAATTGGTGAAAAGTTCAAAAATGGGGAGATGTTTATTAGAATTTCTTTCAGAACCTCATGTGAGAATACATACAGTAGCCTATACTTTGCAGGCCACAAAAAGTTGCGGGGTTGACTTCGTTTTCGTCTTTTATATATAATTATATCATTTATGGTTTTCTTTTACTTTTCCAGTCAAATATTCATAAATTTTTATTATCATCAGTTTTAGATATGTTTTTTATAGAAAAATAGACAACATTGCACATGAAATAAACTTAAACTGTGTGTAATCATGGTTCATATCATCTTGTCTTCTGCATGTTAGAAACCATTGTGTTTATAGTGATCGGGCACACGGATACCCGCCCGAATTACTCATCCGAGTAGAATTTTTAGTACCCGTTCAGATACTATTAATGAACAGCTTATATGTCCTGTTTTTACCTTAATCTCTTTAACTTATAATTTTGGTTCTTTCTCTTCAGCTACCAAATTCATTTTAGCATTTTTATCTCTTTATAGTGAGTCACTATTGTGGATCAAGAGCTCAGTTAAAGTCAGGGAAATCATAAACATATCAAAATTTATAGGGAAGTCAAAGTGGGTGCTTCCCTCTATAGTGGAAATGTCCCCTATGTGCGTGATGATAAACTCAAAGTTTGCATTTTTAGTAGCACAATTAGCAAAAACATACAGTATGTGGCAAATTGTGATACAATTAATTCTATTTAAACTCCAATTTTAAATCATTTAACTAAGAATGTTGACTGTATATCATGCCTTATTCCCCATAAGTTACTTGGCTTTTGCTTCAACATATTTGATTCTATTTTCATTTCAAAAATTGAATTTAATTTTCTATTACAATAACAACAGTTTTTTCCCCTTCTTTACAGTTTATACCTATTTTATAAGTATGGTAGTGTGATATGACAAACCTAACATGGAACTACTGGTGAATTGTGTATTATTATCTAACCTGTTCATATGACATCACACAGAAATACTAATATGACTGTTAAAGCACGAGTTATCACTACACTGAATAAATGACAACATAATATAACAGGAAATCGTTCGATACCTATAGTTTTGGATCGGTCAGCATCAGCCTGGCTATCTGAAACTGAAAAAAAAAGAAAAAATAAGTCACATGGAGAGTGAATGAAACAACTTATTTCAAAGATAAATAAGAATTATTACTCTAATTGTTACTGTATGTATCAGTAAAGTCATTTGCAAATACAAAACCAAAGTTTTCTCAATCCCAGCAAAGAATAAGTTACATTAACAGTTATGATTTGGACTGCTTTTTTACCCTTATCAAGAGTCCATATTTGTCATTCCATTAGAATACTGTCAACCATTAAAAGTATGGTTCCTTCTTCTTCATCAAAACCAGTAAAAGTTATCTTGATCTCAATCTTGTTTAAGCACAACACTACACAATTAATTATCTATTCTGTGCCCACCATGGGTATTGAAACTCACTTTTTAGCATTATAAGCCTTTAGACAGACTTACCACGGAGCCACTTGGGAGTAATGACAATGGAATGAATTATTAAAACACTTTTCTGCTATACTTTACCCTTATTCTTGAAATTTTTTTCTGTATTTACTCTCCTGTACAATTTAGTTTAAATGATAAAAACGTAAGCTTTGATTTAGACTTCAAACAACATAAAAGTGTTTCAGAAAAATCTATAACATATAAAGCAAAGTATTAGCTATCATCTTGAAATTTCTACATCACAAACTGGATCAGAAATGACACCAACTGCTACACAGCAGAAGGTAAAGTATTTGGATACATGGTGAGTACATATCATGCAAATAAAGCTAACTATTAATGATTCTGATAGTATTGTTACGACAGCGGAAGTCACGTGACACTAGTAACATGTCATGAGATTCTAGAAGGATCGGGAAACATCACGAATAATCCAGTATTTGCTAAGCACCCTCTATTCTTGTATATAAGTGCGCCAGATAAAGCGAGACAATTAATCGGAATTGAATTGCAGACAGAGAGAGAGATAGAGACGGACAATTGAGTCAAGTGCGGTAGTGACGTAAGTATAGTGCGTGAATTGTTGTGAATTATAGCGTGTGTTTAAGTTAAAGATACTGTGGAAATTAAGTGTATTGCAGAGTTGAACTGAGAAAGAATAAACTAGTTTTATTTAAGAAAAGACTTGTATCGCTGAAGTTTCTCGGAAAGAATTTCTACAAAAAATTAACAAACGACCAGAGACGTAACAGTATATTTGAATTTTTACATGATATGGTGACTTTTAAAAAGGCCTTATATCTGTATATATACATACTACTGTTAAACTGGTACAAATTTCATCACTGTAATACAATTTTGAAAAAAACAAATAACTTACGTTCTCCATTTACAAGATTTTCATTTGGGTCTGGACTTGGGGGAATATCTAAAAATATCAAATAAAACATAAATTTCACTTAAAAATTGATTTTTCTATTATGTTCATTATGGCAGTCATGTTTCGTAATAAATGTTGACCTATGAGTTGTGAAGCACACTTAAACAATTCCATGTATGGTTGCAAAGTTCAGGCCTACAGTAGAGTGGAACACTATATCTTCTTTAAAGATATTTTTAGTTTGTACATTATAACTTGATCTGCATACTACATACCACTTATAATTAACAAGCTAGTCGTTTCTGAAGATCATACTTTTAATTACGTAACAGACCAGAGTGGTTTTTCTATCTTTTTACCTACAATACAAATACTGACTAGGCCCTGTCTTTATATATTAAGCCCAAAGTAAAATATCTTAACTTAACAACACCTTTCAGGTCCTGGCTTTATACTAGGCCTAAAGTAAAATGTCTTACAACTTAACAACGTTTTTCAGGTCCTAGCTTTATACTAAGCCTGATGTAAAATGTTGTACAACTTAACAACACCTTTCATGTTCTGTTTTTATACTAAGCATGAAATAAAATAACTTACCACTAAACAATACACCTAGCTTCTTGCTTGATTAATAAACTCAATGTAAATAACTAAATATCAATATTGCTACACCCCTAGTCATATACTAACCCAATGTAGGAGCCTTTACTATTAAATAATACCTTTAAGCTCCTGGTTATATATTAAACTTAATTTAAAAAAACTTACCAATGCATCTAGGCTCTTGGCCACTCCAGTTACCAGAAAACAAACACTGTCTCACAGGATCTCCAACCATTCTGAAATCTGGCAGACACTGGTACTCAACAGTTGCTTTATACGTTGTCGTCCCATTCATCAGAAAACCCCTTCCATTGGTCACCACTGTGGGCTGGCCACAGTCAATCACTTCAAAGAAATATGAAACAATAGAGATCAAACAGTTTACATATTAACACCTTAAAACCTTTATAAACATTAGCTTAAAAAAAAACAGAACGTTGCTAATACCAAGTATTCTCACTCTTTCTATCTCTAATTTAAAAAACAAGCCTGTCCATTATGAATTTAGACACTTGTCAAAATAAAATTTTATTTAGTAAAAAGTTCTGAAATTATACGAAACAATATTTGACGATGGAAAACACTTGAGCAAGCCCTGTAAATCCAAATTATTATATATAGATCAGCAGTTCTCAACTTATGCCCTCACCTCATAGGAAGGAACACAAGCGAGTCAGGGGAATGCACCAGCTGTGTGTAAATTTTTTAAAAGAAAGGTTTGGGGATTTGAAAAAAAAGTTGCTAAAAAATAATATTAAAAAAAAGAGAGAAAAATATCACAAATAGTTTTTATTTCTCTTGCCAGCTGTTTTTTTTTAAGCTTGGGGATGCTATCTATGATAAAGTTTGAGAACCACTGATATAGATAAACCTGTGATCGTACATTAATTTTACCAGCTAATGTTTAAAAATATAATATGTTGTTAGCTTGTTCAATACTTACATTGACAAAATGGTGTCTGTCCCGACCACTGGCCACTCTTCAGACAAGAACGTATACTTTCACCTATCACCTCATAACCTTTAATACATGAATACACAACCATTCGTCCAATAGTAAAAACACTGCCATCTACAAAGGTCATTGTGTCGAGCGTATCAGGAACTCCACAAGAGATCTCTGAAACATTATATAAATATTTTTGTGTAACGGAACCATTATTTTTCAATGTCATAGGTACCTTTCATGTGTAATTATTTAAAAGAATGAACTTTTTAATGTTTTTTATAACACTATATATTACCCAAAAAATATCAGATCTCAAGATTTAACAAAAAAAAAAGATCTTGTTCGTGCAAAATCTAGCAAATTTATAAGAACAATAACCCAAACTTTATGTAAGTACATTTTACAACAATATGGGCCTGAAGAACTAAGTTTGTATCATAAGGTCTTTATCATAAAAAATTACTGACTACAATAATGCATAATATGGACTTTTTACAACAATAATAAAGCAACAATAATTACAAGGCAAGTAATTATTTCCATCAAATATATTTTCCAATTATCACTTAATTATTATATTATCACTCATACATTAGGATTTATGAACGAAGTTACTCCAAACTAGACACACCATGTAACTGAATTAGGAAAATTATTTAATTATACAAAAACATATTCTCTAAAACATTCTCGGCAGTGAACGTTTCATAGTTGCCACTGAATCTCTCTATCCTTCTTCATAAAAAGAAAAGAAATATAAGAGTGAGAGAACGAACTGGATTATTGAAACTCTAATGCGTACTGCCACACTTTACTCTGAAGATCAGATTTCTTATTATTATTATTTCTATCAATCTTTAATCACCTATACATCGAGGATCTTGACCACTCCACGTTCCATTGTCTAAACAAAGCCTACGGCTTGGTCCAACAACTTTATAGTTTTCATCACACTCATACTCCACTGACATGCCATAGAATGTTGAATTATTGGGGAGTAACCAGTGTCCATGAGCCACTGGAAAGGGAAATCTACAATCCACATCTAGAAATAAAGATTAAGAAATGATAAAATGTAAAATTCATATTTATAATAATAAATAAACAAACTATAATTATCATAGACAGGTTTGATGACCATCAAAAATATACAATGCAGCACTCACCTCAAATCGAGTACACCAGTAGAGTTTGAAAATATATAATGAATTTCTTACATCTAGTTGTTACATCTAGTAACTGCATGACTATAGTTTGAATTTCACTATATTCATATTTGTATTTGCTAGTGTTACAAATCATTTTATCTCTTTTAATTACTGCATTTGTAATTCAGGATTATAATCACTTACATTGACATGAAGGTACTTCACCACTCCATTCTCCCGTCTGCAGACATCTTCGTAATGATACTCCCCTTAGAACATGGCCTTCCACACATCGATACTGAGCGTTAGCTCCTATCTTAAAGGAAGCGGCTGAAGACCGGTCATTGCCACTGTAAACAACTGTAGCATTACGTGGCACTTGTGGAACAGGACAACGAATTTCTGGAAATTACAGAAAATATTGACAAAACCAAGAAAATTCAAATCCTTGTGATTAGAATTCCAGTAAAAGAAATATTTGAGCAAACTATCAAACACCTTGGTGAAATATTTCACTGTAGCAGGCCTAACATAGTGTTTAAGTAATAGCTAAGCTGCTTACAGTTCTCCGAACAATAATAACCCTTTGAATATACATACATTTGTTGTTTACAGTTGTAGATAAGAAGTTCTTCGAAACATATTTATACCAAGGTTAATTACAGTTCTTTCTCCAAAGCTATAGCACTAGAAGCAAAAACAAAAATTACTAAAACCATAAAATATCTCTCTGGAGTTGCGACTTGTGTGATACAAGTCCAGCAACCGTTGAAACATGGAATTTGTTTTCAAGATTAAACATAATGTGAATATAATTATTATACAAGGAGTCTTTATAGGAATTACATCAAACAGCTAAAATTTCAAATATATTTTTCATCTAAATAAATAGCTTAATAAACAACTTTTAAATTTTTTTGAAGTATATATTTCATTATATATATATATATATGAAATGTCTAAACAGATGAAGAGATGTCACAGTAAGATTAATTCTTCCCTTAACACTTACAAAGACTCGGGTACTTTTCACAATGCTTTGCAAGCAAGGAAATTATATTGAAACCTAGGAACTCATTGCTTGGTAAAAACATATAATATATTAATAGTTACTTTAATTTTCATAATACAGTTTTGTAATGTATCCCACCAACCTTCACACAAAGGGGTGTTTCCACCCCAGTGACCATCTTCCAGACACCTTCGCACACTGTCGCCAACCAGACGATATCCAAAATTACACTTATAGGATATAAGACTGTAAAGAAAAGTAGTTTCATTGGCATAATGGACTGACCCTCGGGGTATGGGTGGGACACGGCCACAGTCAACAACTGCAGAAAATCAAACTTTGTTATATGCTCTGAAGTTAATGACAATTGGTAAATGTTTTCTGATGTAAACTACATAACACGGTGCTACTATAGCGTGAGGTCTACCGTCATATGTCGCCTACCCAGGTCTATCAAACATGTATAAAAATGTATCACACATTTCCATACATTTATTTTAGCGATAAACACT